AATTTACCTAAGTTAACCATATAGAGAAATTAGGCTGAGATCTTGCCACATAACTTATTATCTATTTACCTATTAAATTTATATCAAATAATCTTTATATCACAAGTCTGGGAGCCTAATACATAACAAAATATTACTGGATTTAAATGAATCATGAAGAAATTAAGCTCCTTCTTTCCTTTGGCTTAATCGACTGAGCTACGACATGGTAAAAGAATTGCAACCGGAAAATCATCCTGATCTACCGTGGGTCCTGCAGCCTCTCCGAGACAATCCTCTCGGACGTAGGTTCGAACCCTCGTCACGGCCCTTGTGGATTTGTTCATTTGATGCATCACGCTATTGTGATTTCTGTGTAATATATGGTTTAATTAAGAAAAACATGTTTTTCTCTTACAAATATTGATGTTTCAGTTGAGTCTTGTCATAGGATGCTTATATTATGCTATCCACAAGCGTTGGAAATACCAACACCATTTACTAACTTTCAATACTTCTTCTTCTTGATAGTAGGTGCAGTTTGCAAGATGGGTTTGTCCTCCCGATGACTGCACCAGTACAGATGTTGGTAGAGGCGTTTATGTTGAAGATGATAAGAGTTTCAAAGGTGCTTGTTGCGTTGTGCTGTAGACAGAGGAGCGGCGACTAAAACAGAGGTGTGTGTTAGAGGGAGACTTGCCGCACTGTAGGGCGGTGTGTTGTGTTTATGGCGTCAGCTGATCCTTGGTACTGCGACAAGGCAGTTGTTTTCTGTGTTTAGCTGTTGGTGACGCCAGGTATAAATGTGGCGCGGGTCAGATGTGACCCAATTTGTTGGTCGACTGTAGATATTTAGCCAGTGCTTTGACTATTTGGCATTTTTCTTGTAACGAGTGGTCACCGCCTCCTAATATATGCTCGATGGTAAAGGGTATTTTAAGTGAAATAAGTACTTGTTTGAGATTTACTCTGGCACTATAATGTCGGAAGCAGTGGAGATGATAGTGTTCGACTGTTTCAGGCACCTGACAGTAGATGCAGAGTTCGTTGATGTCTGTTCTGTACTTAGAGCTGTGTGCTGCCAGTTTGGTGTGTCCCAGCCTTAATCTGGTCATCGCTATATGAATTTCTCTGCTTTTATATCTGACATGTTTCCAAGTTTCCCATTTCTTTTTACTGGACCCATAGTACAAAGGTGAGCATGACGTTTTCCATTTCGTCACAAAATCTTGAGTGATGGTATTTTTGAAGGCTCCTTTACGTGCAACAGGGGAATTGGATGACGGGTGATGTGAGGTGTGTTGTGCATTGCTTTGGCTAGTTGATCTAGTAGTTCATTATGGAGAATACCACAATGTGCTGGGACCCATTGGATAGAGGTATCATAACCGTTTAATCGATGTTCATGAAGAATTTGAAGACATGGGTAAACAAACTCCTTGCACATTGTTGAAGAGTACGTAATTGCTTGAATCGCGCTCTTGGAGTCACTGCAGATTGTATATGTTCCGATTGGTAATGTTGTGATTATTTGGAGAGCTTGATATAAGGCATATAATTCAGCTGTGAAAACAGATAGTTAGTTTGGTAACCGCCATCCCTGCTTGAGATGGTACTCCGGTATCCATATAGCGCTAGTGACCGAGGGTACTTTCAGTACAATATGCAGATAATATTGCTGTTGATTTTGTATTAACAAATTTACACAGAAGTATTTTAATTTAATAATTCAAAGAAAATTAGAGTTATTGAATTTTCCCCCATCAAATGAGAATAGAATTGCCACGTCACCAGAATATACTTCATTAAATATTAATCAATCATTTAAAACACCAGTCTAGAGGTTAAAATTGATGAAAAAAGTATTCTCTATGACTGGATCTAATGAATTCTATATAAATAAAAATGGAAATGTTGGTTGTTCAAAATCGCTAATCTCTGAAAGTTCTTCACAGATTGCTTTGAAATTTTCACACAACATTCCATTCGCATCCTTGCGAGTTTTTATATACATACTATATAAAATCTGTGTCATAGATGTGACACAGATGTCACATCTGTGACGGGGAAAAAATATGCATTTTTCGAAAAACTGTGTTTTTCATGTGAGGGAAATCTTAAAAACCTCTTTACAAATTGCTTTGAAATTTTGACACAACGTTGCATTCGAATAGGCGCGTGTTTTTGTATACCTACTATATACATGCCTCACCTGTGACAGGAAAAAAACATGTTTTTTTTAAAAAAAACAGCTCCATCTGTTGGACGTAAGAGAAACACATACTGTTATCTCTGAAAGTGCTTCACCAATTGCTTTGAAATTTTGACACAACGTTCCATTCGAATACACGTTGTGTTTCTATATACCTACTTTATAGATGCCACACCTGTGACAGGTAAAAATCATCCTTCTTTTAAAAACAACGCCATCTATTATACGTCATAGCAACACAGCTATACTAAATATGTTACAATTCCATTTCAATGTTTCCGATTGCATTGATAAATTGAATTGTCATAGATTTTGATTTATTTTCATTTTTATTTAATTATTTTGTGTGACATTACGTTGGAATTGAGCTGTGTTGTTCACCATACCTTTGTTTTCGTAAGTATAAGTATAGAAGCCACACCTGTGACTGGTAAAAACATTTTTTTTTAAGGAACAGCGCCATATGATGCGCGTAAGAGCAACACAAGCTCTTATATGCTACAATTCCATGTCAATATTTCCGATTTTATTGATAAATAAAATTTCCATAGATTTCGATTGGATTTGGATTTGATGTCTAAAGGGTTTGAAAAGGATGGGGAAGGTAGAGGGATAGGGAGGTGAAATTCTGGAAGAGGATGTGAGTATGAAGAGAGAGGAGGTTTGAATGTTCGGTGGCCTGTCCACCATGGGTTGGCACATGTGTGTGTCGTTTGTTTGGGTGTGTGGTATGTTGGATTGATTTCAATTTATTTTAATTTTAATTTAATTATTTTGCATGACATTGTGTTGGAATTGAGCTGTGTTGTTTACCATACCGTCCATTTCGTGAGTATAGTTATTTTTATTATTTTTCATTTCGTTTTTCTAGCTGTTCTTATTTTTAAGTGATGGGAACATCAGATCATTTGATGTTCCAAATTTTCTAATGGGAACATAAGATCATTTGAGAATGAATCAGACATGGGCGTGTGGAATGGTGGACAGGATGAGGGGACGGGAGGCTGCTGAGTCACAGCAACGCATGGCCGGATACTGCTAGTTACAAATAAAACTAAGATCTCCCTTTCATTGTCACTAAAAGGGCAGAATTTTAACCGGTTTCTTGACGCGTTGTGATCGAGGAAGGAGGAGAGACGCTATTATTAACATCAACAAAGTCTTGCCTGCGAGCACGCTCACAAAACTTCACGAATATTTCCTTCTAGTTCAAAGGCTGTGGGACGCCAAATCTCCCATCATCAGCATGCCTTCACTAGCAAATAGAAAAGTGTTTTGCACACAATTGACCTGTTTATCTTATTGTTTGTGGCAATTAATGTAATTTTGGGTTGACCTGTTATGGGTATGGCAAACCACCCTAAATGGGTAAGCTTAAATGAATTCTCCATAATAACTTGTCCCTGATATAACCGTCATATACTGGTTACTTTTTATTTTTTGTGTGCCCATTTGACAGGTGAAATTGAAGGGGAAAAATAAATTAGCAGCACTATCTAGTACAACACATGACAAGTGATGATTCTATAGCGTGACCCACGAGGAGAATTAGTGTGTGTGATCTTTCGTATTCATGTCTGGTTGACCAGGCCTCATTCAACATAACAGTTAAGTTGTACATTAATTTACTACCCATTGTAGACTAACCTTTAGTTGCAAATTTCTACACATTGGTTAATTTTTATTTAGTAGGCTATGTAATTAAACCCTACAATGTTGGGTAGAAAGCTAATTGTTAGAACTTTAACATTATACAGTCCACTTTAATATCATACAGGCCACTTTAGAATCATATAGTCCGCTATTGAAATAAATTAATTAATTATAAATAATTAATATATGAATTAATTATAAATTGTTAAATCAATGAATTAATACTTGTAATTAAAATAAGTAAATAAATCCCACGAGTCAGTTTTCCCCACAACAGGTATATTCGTGTTTAATTACTGTATTTCTATTATAATGACTAGTTTAGTCAGTAAGAACTTAGAATCTATGTAGGTTAACAGGCTTTCCCATTTTTGCATATTTGTATATATTATATGCATTAGCATATGTGCATTAGCATTTAATACACTAGGCTTTGTTATAATCACTGCCCTTGTTTTCTGATCCTTATAAGGCAGTTAAAAATATTGTTTGCGATAAGTCGTTCTTGATGTTCGAGACTTTTGTCAGTACATTTTAAAGCTTGTTTCTGGAATTATTATAATTATTATATCATACAGTTCCTATGTCGTCCCTCGTACTATTATGAGCTTATCAGGGGCTTCACTGCGCATATATGTGTAAAAAAATTACATAAACCTTAAGGACAATGTTAACTGAAGACAATAATTGTAAAATGTAATTATTAACATTTTAGTTATGGGTAATGCATATAAAGGTTTTGCAATTCCTAAGTGATGACATACAATTTGATGACATAATTCAATTTCTTATTTTTTTTTACCATTAATGAATCTTATGAATGAAAATTTTACAGTAAGTGACAAATTTTATTATATTTAGAAATCTATTTATTATTTTCTACTTATTACGAGACTATAAAATTATATAAACACTGTTTTGCAAACTGTGAGAACGAGCTGGGTCATACTCTTTAAATTACATCATTAAAGTCTGATAAACAAACCCTTTACATGGATCGAAAGGGGTACACCGTTTCTCGATGTATGTTTGGTGAGAATTTACTCAAGTTCTGGACCATGTTCAGGACTAAATAATACTTCCTGGTTTGTCAATGAGTTATCGTTGTGACTATCATAACCCTCTCGCTCGCATGAGTTTTAAGCCAAATACTCACCCCACGAGTCAGCAGTCCCATGAGCCCCGTCCAGGACCCGTTGGCTAGCTGGCTACCAAACAACTTGTCATCCGGCACAACATACTCTATGCTGTGAAGGAAGATCAATCCAGTAAATAAAACAAACACAAATTTGAGTACGAGCAGCTGACAAGAGATAGGTAATAAAACTAGACAGAATACATTTAATACGTGATAACATTTTTAATCTAGAAATCCCGAGAAGCAGCACGCACATAGTTATATGAGCGCGCTGGTGAAGTGAGCTCAACGGTGAAGTGAAGCTATGGATTTTTTTTTATAAATTGCAATGGTTCCGCGGTTAAAATAAATTTTTTTTGGCTCCTTGTAAATATATTTAACCTAACATGTCCACTTAATTTAGTCATGAATGTTAAGCACTTTCTCCATGTAAGGAAAAACTGAAAACAATTATTACTATTTTGGGGGACAAATATGGTTAAACATGATAATTTAGATACAAAAAATGTGGCCAGTGAGCATCAGTGGATCTTAGTAGCATAATGATTAACATAAACTGGTAATTTCAGATTAAGCCCAACAATAAGGAAGTATCTCATTATATACATATAATGTTTATATATATATATATATATATATATATATATATATATATATATATATATATATATATATATATATATATATATATATATATATATATATATATATATACATATATATATCAGAGCTGGCAGGTCCACCATCGACATGGTCTTTTCCCTCAGACAACTGCAGGAGAAATGCAGGGAACAGAAGCAGCCACTCTTTGTAGCCTTCATAGACCTGACGAAGGCCTTCGACCTCGTCAGCAGGGATGGCCTGTTCAAGATCCTCCCCAAGATCGGATGCCCACCCAGGCTCCTCAGCATCATCAGATCTTTCCATGAGAACATGAGGGGCACCGTGGTCTTTGATGGCCTAACATCAGGCGCCTTTGACATCCGAAGTGGAGTGAAGCAGGGCTGCGTACTGGCTCCAACCCTATTCGGGATTTTCTTCGCAGTTATGCTGCGGCACGCCTTCGGATCTGTCACGGAAGGCATTTACCTCCGGACCAGGTCGGATGGGAAGCTCTTTAACCTCGCCAGGCTGAGAGCCAAGACAAAGGTTCGGCTGAGGTGTCTGCGCGACTTCCTCTTTGCCGACGACGCAGCAGTCACTGCCCACTCAGCTGAAGACCTCCAACGGCTCATAACCCGCTTCAGAGAGGCCTCTCAGGCTTTCGGACTCACCATCAGTCTGAAGAAAACACAAGTCATGGGACAAGGAGTGGACTCCCCACCTGACATCGGCATCTCTGATCCCAAACTGGAAGTTGTTCACGACTTCGTGTACCTGGGCTCCACAATCTCTGACTCCCTCTCTCTTGATACGGAGCTAAACAAACGCATCGGTAAGGCATCTACTACCATGTCCAAACTGACAAAGAGAGTGTGGGCCAACAATAGGCTGACTGAGTATACTAAGATTCAGGTTTACAGATCCTGAGTCCTGAGCACTCTCCTTTATGGCAGTGAGTCTTGGACACTCCGTGCCCGTCAGGAAAGACGGCTGAATGCCTACCACATGCGCTGCCTTAGACACATCTTGGACATCACCTGGCAGGACAAGGTGACAAACAACAACGTCTTGGGGAGAGCAAGAATCACCAGCATGTACACAATGCTGAAACAGAGACGAATGTGCTGGCTCGGGCACGTTGTGCGAATGGGCGACGGCAGGATCCCCAAGGATCTCCTGTATGGAGAGCTGAGGCAGGGAAAGCGTCCAGTAGGCAAGCCCCAGCTACGGTACAAAGACGTATGCAAAAGGGACCTGAAAGCCATGGACGTCGATCTTGCTATATGGGAGACACTGGCTGCAGACCGTTCAGCCTGGAGGCAGTCTGTTCAACGAGGTCTCTCCAAGTTCGAGGAGTCACTTGCCAAGGAATCGGAGGCAAAGAGACAGAGAAGGAAAGCCGGTAACCAGGAAGACAGACCAGAATCGGACTTCGTTTGTGCTCGGTGTGGGATGGACTGCCACTCTCGGATTGGCCTCATCAGTCACACCAGACGCTGCACCAGGATTGACAACTAGGGCGCAACTCCATAGTCTCCCGAGACTGAAGGATGCCTACTACTATATATATACATTAGTATATTTTGGTAGCAGTCTTTCCTGTAGACATATATTATTAAATATGACCGAAAAAGTAAGATTAATAATTCTAACACGAATTTTCGCAATCTTTCGTACATTACGCTTCACTGTTGGAGGTAAATCAAAAATCAATTCTCCAAAATTCATTTTTATTTCTAATCTGACGCGACACGGGCGCGTTTCGTAAAACTTATTACATTTTCAAAGACTTTAGTTCACAAATACACAACTGATTAGAACTTACGTATCTCCGATTTTATATCTACATTTGAGTGAGGTGGGAGGGGTGATGTGGCATTAACACAAGACAGAACAAGAGGGGATATTAATAGGGTATTAAAAGTATCAACACAAGACAGAACACAAACAATGGGTATTGAATAGAAATGTTTGTAGAAAGCCTATTGGTCCATATTTCTTGATGCTTCTATATTGGAGCGGAGTCTTGAGGTGGGTAGAATATAGTTGTGCAATAATTGGCTGTTGATTGCTGGTGTTGACTTCTTGATGTGTAGTGCCTCGCAAACGTCAAGCCGCCTGCTATCGCTGTATCTATCGATGATTTCTGTGTTGTTTACTAGGATTTCTCTGGCGATGGTTTGGTTGTGGGAAGAGATTATATGTTCCTTAATGGAGCCCTGTTGCTTATGCATCGTTAAACGCCTAGAAAGAGATGTTGTTGTCTTGCCTATATACTGGGTTTTTTGGAGCTTACAGTCCCCAAGTGGGCATTTGAAGGCATAGACGACGTTAGTCTCTTTTAAAGCGTTCTGTTTTGTGTCTGGAGAGTTTCTCATGAGAAGGCTGGCCGTTTTTCTGGTTTTATAGTAAATCGTCAGTTGTATCCTCTGATTTTTGTCTGTAGGGATAACGTTTCTATTAACAATATCTTTCAGGACCCTTTCCTCCGTTTTATGAGCTGTGGAAAAGAAGTTCCTGTAAAATAGTCTAATAGGGGGTATAGGTGTTGTGTTAGTTGTCTCTTCAGAGGTTGCATGGCTTTTCACTTTCCTTCTTATGATGTCTTCGATGAAACCATTGGAGAAGCCGTTATTGACTAGGACCTGCCTTACCCTACAGAGTTCTTCGTCGACTTGCTTCCATTCTGAGCTGTGGCTGAGAGCACGGTCGACATATGCGTTAACAACACTCCTCTTGTACCTGTCAGGGCAGTCGCTGTTGGCATTTATGCACATTCCTATGTTTGTTTCCTTAGTGTAGACTGCAGTGTGGAAACCTCCGCCCTTTTCCATGACTGTTACATCTAGAAAGGGCAGCTTCCCATCCTTTTCCATCTCGTAAGTGAAACGCAGCACGGAACTCTGCTCAAATGCCTCCTTCAGCTCCTGCAGATGTCTGACATCAGGTACCTGTGTAAAAATGTCGTCAACATACCGGCAGTATATGGCCGGCATATACTGCAGGTATGTTGACGACATTTTTACACAGGTACCTGATGTCAGACATCTGCAGGAGCTGAAGGAGGCATTTGAGCAGAGTTCCGTGCTGCGTTTCACTTACGAGACGGAAAAGGATGGGAAGCTGCCTTTTCTAGATGTAACAGTCATGGAAAAGGGCGGAGGTTTCCACACTGCAGTCTACACAAAGGAAACAAACATAGGAATGTGCCTAAATGCCAACAGCGACTGCCCTGACAGGTACAAGAGGAGTGTTGTTAACGCATACGTCGACCGTGTTCTCAGCCACAGCTCAGAATGGAAGCAAGTCGACGAAGAACTCTGTAGGGTAAGGCAGGTCCTAGTCAATAACGGCTTCTCCAATGGTTTCATCGAAGACATCATAAGAAGGAAAGTGAAAAGCCATGCAACCTCCGAAGAGACAACTAACACAACACCTATACCCCCTATTAGACTATTTTACAGGAACTTCTTTTCCACAGCTCATAAAACAGAGGAAAGGGTCCTGAAAGATATTGTTAATAGAAACGTTATCCCTACAGACAAAAATCAGAGGATACAACTGACGATTTACTATAAAACCAGAAAAACGGCCAGCCTACTCATGAGAAACTCTCCAAACACAAAACAGAACGCTTTAAAAGAGACTAACGTCGTCTATGCCTTCAAATGCCCACTTGGGGACTGTAAGCTCAAAAAAACCCAGTATATAGGCAAGACAACAACATCTCTTTCTAGGCGTTTAACGATGCATAAACAACAGGGCTCCATTAAGGAACATATAATCTCTTCACATAACCAAACCATCGCCAGAGAAATCCTAGTAAACAACACAGAAATCATCGATAGATACAGCGATAGCAGGCGGCTTGACGTTTGCGAGGCACTACACATCAAGAAGTCAACACCAGCAATCAACAGCCAATTATTGCACAACTATATTCTACCCACCTCAAGACTCCGCTCCAATATAGAAGCATCAAGAAATATGGACCAATAGGCTTTCTACAAACACTTCTATTCAATACCCATTGTTTCTGTTCTGTCTTGTGTTGATACTTTTAATACCCTATTAATATCCCCTAGTGTTCTGTCTTGTGTTAATGCCACATCACCCTTCCCACCTCACTCAAATGTAATGCCACATCACCCTTCCCACCTCACTCAAATGTAGATATAAAATCAGGGAAACGCAAGTTCTAATCAGTTGTGTATTTGTGAAGTCTTTGAAAATGTAATAAGTTTTACGAAACGCGCCCGTGTCGCGTCAGACTAGAAATAAAAATGAATTTTGGAGAAGTGATTTTTGATTTACCTCCAACAGTGAAGCGTAATGTACGAAAGATTGAGAAAATTCGTGTTAGAATTATTAATCTTACTTTTTCGGTCATATTTAATAATATATATATATATATATATATATATATATATATATATATATATATAATTGCAGGTTATAGTTGTGTGTGTGTAAACTAAAGTCTTTGAAAATGTAATAAGTTATTAC